CTTTCCCCCCAGCAAACCACATTGGATCTGCCTATGTCTGTAACCTATCTTAATTTTGCGTACGAATGACCCCGGCTTCTAATGAGTGCAACCCATTTCTACTAGACATGTCCTTCCAACTTTCCTTGAATTTCTCAAAAATTCGACGGTACAATTTTCAGAAGCAATTTTCGTATATAACCTGCTTACAAAAGCTTAACATGCAAGAAGAATTTTACCTGTACCGAACAACTGAATGCTGAATAACTGGTTCAGCTGTTCGGGCGATAACTGCGCCGTGAAGATATCCGGAGGCTCACCGTATTCTGCAAACATATTAACATCACAAAAAAACATTAAAAGCTTGTTTAAAGCTGTGAAGCTGCAATCATAGGCGGATCGGGTGAAGGAGGAGGGAAGGGGGCAGGGGAGGGAGAGGGGGGTAGGAGGAATAGGCATTTCGCATCCTTCCGTCCCCCCTCCTCCCCGCCAATGGCACAGGCACCTACTGCAAAAGCCTGCGTCTAAAGCTAGAACTAAAACCTAAAGTAACTCTAAACTAAAGCAACTCTAAGTAGCAGTGTTACAGCTCTATCCCTAGTTTTTGTACCGTCCCAAGGTGGGAAGAGACCCCTACCCGCATCCCCCGCCTCCCAGAAACCCGTCCTGGATCTGCCAATGGCCGCAACCGTGAAGACCGTCGATCTGGGGAAGATCTCTGTGCTGAATCTAGCTTCCAATTCAATTATTCTGATACTCAAAAACAGCCCTGCCCAAAAACTCTTATTTAAGTCATGTTTCAGTTTCGGGCAAGGAAATTTGCTGCCAAAAATTGGCAGTTTCTGCTTCCGACAAACATTTCCCTGGCAGTAGTTCCTTACACACATAACTTTGCCAGTGGCTTTTCTCCAGAATACCATTTCCACTGACTGTTAGACAGTAAGGCAGTGATGCCTAAAATAAACCAAGATAATCTCGAAACTGCTAATGCCTTGAAAAGTGTTTCTGATGGGAGATGAAATGAACATCAATTTCACCAAAACGCTGATGTTGAGGCGATGCAAGAATGCTCAAAGCAACTGGAACACTTGTCAGCTCTACAGGCGCAAAACCACACAATGAATTTCAAGTGTATGGAAAATAGGCGTCTTCGCCCCCTTCCTCTCCCCCTCCCCTCTCCCTTTCCCAGCAGGGAGGATGGTGAGGCAAAAGACGCACATTGATACTTATGTCTCTAAATTGTCCACTACTCAAGCCCCCCTTTCCTGCAAAAAATCAAAAAAAAGTCTTCAAGGGGTTAGTGACGACAGCTGATGCTCACTATCACTGCCTCAGATGCGCAACTTTGAAGGCTCAAGAAATATTTTCTATTTATTCAAATCACTTCTCGTCTTGCTTTTTCTTCCCTTCTTCTTTTTATGCTTTTCCTCCTCACACACACACACACACACAAACATATTCACACACACACACATACATACATACATACATAGATAGATACACATACACACATGCATGCACACATAAAGTGCCTGATTAATATGTTCTAAAAGAATGAAAAAGTGGAAAATATCAACCTTTTGGTTTTGAAGACCATGTGAGCTGCAAGTGCTGCGAATCAGGCGATGATGTATCTTCTTCCACCGAAAGGCCATACATCGGAGGAATGGAGCATTCCAGAAACTGAAAATGCTCATTAGTACCATTAGTAGTTCCAGTACCAATGATATAGTTCTCTTTTCCTACAACGGATCTGAGAGATAACTTCATTCCTTATTATTAAGCGTTCTGTGCTATGCAAATGCTGCATAAAACGCATATTGTCAAGGGATTGTCTGTATGTATGTGTGTGTGTATATGTGTGAATGTGTATGTGTGTGTGTGTGTGTGTGTGTGTGTGTGTGTGTCCGATGCTTCTTGTTTTTCCATTCTTTCAGTCTTCCACATGTTATCCCACTGCACACATTTGTATTCATACTAACTCCTTAAGCTCTTCTTTATTTGTTTATACCACACCGGTCGTACTGACGAGGTTCAGTTGTGGATGCAGAGCAGCAAAGTAAATGACTTAATGGATCGAAACATTCCTATTCAGCTAATTACTAATTATTCCTATTCAACTAATACCTTTATTAACTACATCAAAAAGTGCTGTATTTTCATTGAAAAGAGCGTGTAAACAGTTTTGACGATTCCTTCTTATTTTTGAGGCTTATATCTTTGAGCACAAGTTTTTCAGCACTTCCATATTACAATTACCCATCATATCACTGGACTTCTGCACCATAATTTAACATGGTCAAACTCAGTGCAATCCTCCTCTGACAAAATTTTGATATCATTTTTACCAAACAGATGAAAAATCAAGAACAAAAATTAAATACTAATCAAGCATTATGACGTGGTTTTTCAAAGGTACAGGAGAGGGGACCAGTAAGGGGCACGAATATTGAGGCAGGAGACATCGACAAAGAAAAGATAACAGTTGGGAAAGGTGGGATGCCGAAAAGTCGAAATTTAAAAAAAAGATATGTCTTTTAAATTTCAGTTTTTTTAATAAATATGCAAAGTATTTAGGAAATTGACCACTTTTCATTCCCAAGCTATATTCTTGGACAAGTTAGCAAGCGAAAGAGGGTTGGAGTTCACCAGCATAGTTCCCCTCAGACACTGTCCTGAACGGAGTTGCCTTCTGCAAATACGCCAGAGGGAATCGAACCATTCCTCTTCACATCTCGATACAGCGTGCTATCCAATGCACCACTGGTCTTTGTGCGCTTGGCTCAACCCGGGGCATTTCTAATTTGCACCTTTTAAGGCGGAATACACCTTTCTTTCCTTGCTCGCTTCCTTTAGGCAAAAATATAATTCTTTATGGAGGTTTCTTTCTTGTCTGCTTTTCGCGGGTTTATTTTTTTTTGCGACATATGATGAATTACGAGGAAGGTATTCTTGTGCCAAAAGAACATTGAGAAGACTGCCAATGTGGTGGAAAGATCTACATAAAATAGGAAAATGTGATGGGGGAAAGCACGAAAAAGAGGTGTGGTGGAAACAGCCAGTTGCATCAATGGTGAAAAGAAACGCGACGATGAAACAATAACTGGAAATTTAATTTTTTGAGTTACCCAAAAATAATGAAATATCGCTTTACCTGCTCAGCCAATGGATCG